CGGTGATGGATTGTAGGGTGGGCCGGGTGGGCCAGTGCTAATAGAAGGTGGGGTCACTGGGGTGTAACTCGGCGGGTTGTCGTTGGAGCCTGACGGCGGCGTTGGCGGCGGCGTTGGCAAGTTCTCGTTACCCGGGGTAGCAGGAGGAATGGGCGGGGGCGGCGGGCAGGTGCTGGGGTCGGCAGGCGGAGATGGCGGCGTCGGCGGCGGCAAGCTGCACTGACAAACAGGTGTGGGGTCAGCGGTGCAGCCGCTGTTCAACAGTGCTGACGTGATCGCCACCCAGAAACAAATCCTGATGGCGGCGCCCTCCATTATTCTAGCTCTGTATTTATATAGAAACAGAGAAAAGAATGGATCCTAGCTAGCTTGATGGAATTTAATGGCAGCTAGCAGTGGTGGGTTCTGCAAAAGTTAAGGATCGGTCGCTTTTGAGGAAATCAATCAATCAGGAAACGTCGGAACGGAAAAAGTTAAGATTTTTAGTCTTTTGGTGGGGAAGGGCCCGGCCGCCGGCAACTCAACATCAGGGCACTTGTAGACGAAGGTAATTTTGGATGGAGGAAAACCAAAGACGATGAAATTAAAAGGGATTAATAGGTGCTTGTTTACTAATATCTTTTGATGGGGAATGACTATTAATTATGATTATGATTACCCCTTTTATTATTACTCCCTATCTCTATCTACTACGTATCAATCAATCTATATATATGTTCACTCACCTTTATTAAATAAAAATAAAATTGCACCCATTTTTTTTTTTACTTTCCCATCAACTTTACCACTTCTCTGCTTTTTTAACCATTTACAAAATTTTAATGATGCATATTACAGAAGGTCTGATGAATTTTCCTCACCTTCTTTCGTTTTAATAAGGTACAACCATACATAATTTGTGTCCGAAAATTGTTTGATAAGTTGAAGCTGTGGGAAATTGATGAAACTCTGATTGAATTGCTAGAATATGTGAATTGCGAAAAATTATACTTTATTCGTTCTTTATTAATTGCAACATTGTGTTTTTTTGTATTATTTATACATTTTACTTTGATCACGATTTTTGAACTGGGTTTTTACAAGAATATTACTAAAATAAAACATATATTCATAAATATGACTATTCATTACTACAATGTGGTGTTGTGGTAACTTAAGCTCAAAACTTGAACGTCATTACTATGATTTCATTAATACTCTAGTCACTAGTCATATTTTTGTAAATCATCTTTATTTTGGTCATATTTATGTAATTATTTCTTAGTAATACACATTAAATATAATTACGATCAAAATAGTGTATTAGCAAACCAGAAACTCAAACTGTTGCAACTATTAATAAAATAAAGAAAATACTTTATTTAAAAATAACTAAAATGATCTTTGAAGTGACTTCAGTACACAAAACACAAAAGTAACTTTAACTTATAATTATTTTTATTATTACATATTTAGTGCGTGAAATTTGAAGTCCCCTATTGATAAAAGTAACTTTGGGTTGCGGGCGAAACAGCTCATATTCTTTTGTTGGATTATGATTTTTGCATTCACTTTTTTCGACACAATTTAATTGCATTCTACACTTTTTGGTTATCACCGGATTGATTATCACCTAGCACTTGCTTAAAATTATTTATGAAAAAATTAACTGTATTTTGTAAGGAGGGTTTTGCATTTTGTTTTATGAATATAGATGGAGTAGAAGAGAAGTCGGGGTGGAGAAATGGTTCAAAAAGGGGCCGCCGACGCGTTTTACTTTGTGTGGCACCGCGTAAACAATTTGACAAATTCACTTTCTTTCCGGAAAATGTTTTCTTGCTATACAACTTTACTCATTTCATCTACTCTACATGTCTATATTTCCTACCAACCATTGAATAACTACACACTATTCTACTACCAGTTTATACATCATTATTCATTCGTATTCTATAATTTATTCGCAATACAAATATACAATATTGAAAAATTTAAAATTCCGGTTGACTATCCAAAAAATACATATGTTAATGATATGTAATATGTACGGAGGTGTAGAAAGAAATTGTTCTCGTGCCTTTGAATTGTTTTGTCTATCTCTCTCTAGCGCCACCATAGGTTGGCCTAGGGTTTTGTCCGGCGGCGGGCTTCTTGGCTTGCCACCGCGTTTTTTTAGTTAGTTTTCGGCAAGAACAAAGGGTTGGAGCAAGATTTCGGCTTCGGCGGTTCGAATACATTCGGTATCGGCGTTGACGAAGGGTGCAACGGCGGCTTCAGTGGGTCCTCTGCGGCGGCTTTGAGCAGTGTGTGGAACGAATGAAAGAGTTGATGCACCGGTACAAGAGGACGGTATTAGAGGAGAGTTGTTTTCAACAGAGAAGGGAGCTGAATTTCTGGTGATGGGAGTTGTCTTCAAGAATTGGAAAGAAGTTACAGTACTACCGGATCGTCCCCCTCCTGAACTGCCGCCGTGGAGTGCAGGAGAGGCTATGGTTTGGTTTGGATTTTCTGGCAACGGAAGTATTTCTTATTTTGTTTTGTTTGTTTTTTCGGTAATTGTCATTTCCGTTTTGGTGTTTGTTTTTTCTGTTATGTTCCAGTTTGTAAGACGTTGATTTTGGATATGAGGGATGAGAGGAATTTGGTAACCGAGTTAGACTTTTTGTTTCCCGGTTATGGATCAGCGAATTATATTGCTACGGCGATTAATTCCGAGTCCGGTTCGAGGGATGACGGCTATCAGTTTTCTTTTTGTCAGTTGACGCATACTCTGAACTTTTATCGGTTATTTATCTAAGCCGATTTCTGTCAAAAAAATGTACTCCCTCCGTCCCGCTATGATTGTCCCATTTTACTATTTCGGTCCGTCCCACTAAGATTGTCTCATTCCTTATTTGGTAAAGTTTGTGTGGTTCTAAATCATTCCTACTTTATTCTTACTTTATCAATTCAATATCAACTACATAACCACACTTTTATTAATAACCGTGGCACTTCTCTTGTCCCAAACTTAGGGGGACGGAGGTAGTAATATGTACGGAATATTTTTTTGGAAGAAATGTAAGGAGTATATTTGAACTTTGTATACATAAGTAGCACAATGATCATGTTCATTAAATGTAAACTTATAGAGGTAAGTATATCATTTAAAATGTGCTAGCATTTATCTTGATGCACATAACGTTCTAAGCTTCCATTTGAGATGTAAATAAAATTCCTTCTGATCTACAAATTACAATACTTATGATTTGGTATTTATCAACACTAGAATTTCATCAATAAAATGTTTAATTGACTATTAGTAAAAATAAAGAGAAAAATTGTCAAATCTGCCCTCGAAGTATACCAAAAAAAGTCAATTAGTCACAATGTCACACTAATTAAAAAAACACTCAATTAATTCCATAAACTATATAAAACCGATCAAATTTTGAATTTAGTAAGTTGATTCACGATTAACCGGTCCTCTGCTTACGTGGCAGTCCAGGTGGTGTAGTAAAATGTATTTTCTTTTTTCCTTTTTTTTTCTTGTTTCTGATAGAAGATCACCGTCATATTTCTTTTCTTCAACCTGTCCCTCAATTCTTCTTTTACCGCACAGTCGCACACCCCACCTCCACCCCTTCCCTTCTTTCTTCTTCTTCTTAAGCCCAACTCACATCTCCCTTCTTCTTCTCCTCCCCCCCCCCTACCATGCCCCACCCTCGTATTTCATAGTCATACTACAAATATCAAATAGTTTGGACTTTGGATAGAAGCATTTGTCAAGTCAAAAAGAGGAATGACAACCTACTAAATTCGAAATTTGATTAGTTTTGTATAGTTCTTGGACTTAACGGGTGTTTCTTTAGGTTAGAGGGCCTAATTGACTTTATTGATATACTTAATTTTAACAATTTTTCATAAAATAAAAAATTAAATCATTAATATTTAATCAAGGATAAATTTTGTAAAAATCATTTAGTGCATTAATAAATAAATGTAATAAAAGTAGAAAAGTAGAGGATATAAACATTGTAAAATATAAAACATTTCAACCATGGTGTTGAAATAATCTATATTGTACTCGTTCATTCTCCATTCGTTACTAGATAAAAGACATTGAATTTTAGACTATTTAAAACACATTTTAAGCTATGCACACAACCACAGCCACACACCCTACTTTAACTGTTTTTTAATTTTTATTTTTTATTTTACCCTACGGGGTCAAAGGGAGGAGGCTGAAGGGAGTTTGGGGTAAACAAGAATGAAACTGTCTCCATGAAACAAGGTTGAGGAAGTAGTACATAAAGATAAAGATAAAGCAAAAATAAGTGTGAAGGACTGAAGTGTATATCTTCTAAAACAGCTAATATCATTTATTTACTTGTAACTTGTGCAAACCAATTTAGGGAAAGGCAAAGAACAGTCATGTTGATGGGAGAAAGATGCAAGAATACTAGGAAAATGAATGACAATTCTAAGGAAAGATGTTTTCATGTGTTTGGATCTTTCCCTAGCGATTTTATTTTGATTGTCGCATAGTGGTGGACTCGGGCCGGTTCGGGCCCGGTTCGGGCCTGAGCCCGGCCGGGCCTCGGGCCAGGAAAGTTGGGCCCGAGCCCGAACCGCCGGTGGGCGGTTCCGGTTCCGGGCCGGGCCGGGCCTAACCGGTTCTAATTTTTTTTGGCTCTTCTATTTAACCCCCAACCCCTCCCCCTCAACCCCAAACCACCCCAAACCACCTCAAATGGCCCAAAATACCTAATCCAACCCAAAACTTAAAAAAATTCAAAAAAAAAAATTAAAAACCGGCCCGAACTGGCCGGGCCGGTTCACCAAAAACTGGGCCCGAGCCCGAACCGCCCAGCAGCCGGGCCGGGCCGAACCGAACCGGTGGACCCACCGGGCCCCGGGCCGGGCCGGGCCAAACAGTAACCGGGCCGGGCCACCCGGCCCTAGTCCACCACTATTGTCGCACATAACCGCTGCGGCGTTGCACTGCAATCATTTTCCAAATTTACAATACATACATAATACTTAAAATTTAGGTTTGATTAATTTTAGGTGATTACAATTTTAGGTTTGATCTGCCAAACAGCAAGTACATGAATCGCACGAGTTGAGAGTCTGAATAGTAACACAATATAAATCGAACAAATTTACAGATACACAGTCATATCCACTACCCATTACATTGAAGCTGCCTCCGACCTGTCTCCGAACAAATATCCACAATTTCTTCATATCTACAATATAAATCGAACAAATAAAGCAAAATGGCTCACTTCTTTGTTACAGATACACTGTCATATCCATGATTGCATATGCTCGGAGTCTCAAACACAAGTACATTTGATAGTACAAAATTAAATATGAATTTTTGAGAAGAAAATGGTGGAACTATCATAAAATCCATTCCAGAAATCTTCAAAGAAAAGAACAGGTATGGGCTATGGGCTATGGCCTATGGCTTCCATAATTTCATTGTGCAGTCTTCACCGTATGTGGTGGCAACAAGATTTTTATGGGGATGGTGAGTAATACCAATCACATCTTTCTCATGCACCTGCCACCCTAGTATTGATATATTTGGAACATTGGTGAACAAATTGTCATTGAGGTGGCCTTTGTAGTTAACATCATCATCAAAGTCTCCTACCTACACGGGGGTCGGATGTACACAGCCTTACGCCTGTACTGAAGCACACAGACTATTTCCGGATGACTAGCGGTGAAATCGCGTTGAAAATTGCATGGTCTGACTGTGTAAAAATTTGTTGACTAGTGAAACATTTTGCTTTATTCCATTATATTCTCAAGCCAAAAAGCATGCAGGACTCCCTTTCAAATTAGTACTTCCTCCGTCCCACAATTTAATTGACTCCCTTTCAATTTTAAGTTGTCCTAGATACTACGTAGTACCTCCTTACCGATCGGAGATGGTGGTGGTGCTGGGAGGCAGTAGAGGCGATGGGAAAGGCATCCATATTATTTTTATATTTTTTATGTGTTTTCACTATGTTTTATTAATTTTTTAAATATTTTTATTTTAAAAAAATAAAAAAATTATATTATAAATACGGAGCATTTTATTAATTTTTTATTATTTTCTTACGAATTTTATTATTTTTTACGACTTTTTTATGAATTAAAACATTTTATTATGAATTAATACCCCTAGGGGTAATTAAGGGTAGAAATTAATTGTTTCAAAATTGGGTAGAAAATTAATGTTTAGTCCTATTTGTGGAAGATTTAGGTTTTAGTGCTATTTTGGCAATTAAGTTTCCACTTAATCCTATTTAGGGCAATTACTATATAAGATAAGATCATATAGCATATCAACTGATGGAATTAGGACGTGTTAAACGTGAAAGTTGAGCTAAACTATGTTTAGGCAATTAACTCCAAAAATAGCTAGTAAGAACAACTGAACATTTATCTCAAACAAGTACTGGTTGAGAATATTCAAGAACTTCGGGGACATCTATGACACATTCAAATACAAAATTTACAGGAAATGGGTAAACTATTTGAAGGAAAATAACAGTTACCTGGGGAGACAAATGAGGAGAAGAGGGAGTTTACTGGCATCACAATGAATGGGTTTAGGCGGGGGAAGGAGCAGACAACTGCTTATTTGATAGAGAGTTGGAAGAGCATGGGGCGGGTAGGCACAGTATTGAAGTCCAACCCCCCAAATGTGTTTTTTTGAATTCTCAATCCATGTCATTATTGGTTTATCATGGCTTGTATTTAAGCCACTACCATTTTCATTTCCATGGCTTACCATGTGTAGACTAATATTGTTAAATCCAAACTTTGGATTCAACTTAGAGGATGCAAAGGAATTTGCAATAAGACTAATATTGTTGAATGAAATACAAGGAGTATGTTGTATATATCTAGGGATTAGTATTTATGAATAGATAAAAATGATTCCGGACAAATACTAAATAAATTTATGGAGTTAGAGCCAACATTTTTTCCTTTGAATTTCTCCTCTATTTTCCTTTGTTTTCTTTCCCCACCATTTCCCGCATTCCAGATGGACCCAGCGTAAATTAGTGATGTATGTCAACAAACAAGGCTAGGATTATTTGTACCTCATTACTTCTGGCCTACTCCATTTTTTTTTTCTTTTTTTACAGTTCCAAGCCAGAAGTGTCCTGTTCCAAACTGGAACTGACGGTTCACAGTTCCACATTCTCTAAAACTATGAAGTATGAACAGGTTGTGGTTCTAAAACCGGCAGTCCTGGTGAAACAATAGACAGGTCAATTAACAGGTGATTTGGCAATATTTATTAGAAAGTAGAAACACCAGAAAAAAGCACCACCTTGGCACAGCTAGTTCAGGGAGCACCACACTGGATCCACGTCAAATCACTTCCAGTATCCATATCAAGAAAGTGTGGCTTAGGAAGATTCCCTATGAGCACATAAGTGTAGTATACCTGTACGGAAATTGTCATTGTGAATTGCTTGTGGCACTAAAACAGAAACATACGCACAAAAAGGTATACAACGCATAACTCTACTGAGATATGCTACAATCTGAACCTAGTAGAGGTTAAATGTATGACACCCCACACATTCTATTGAGTTCATATTAATGCACGACCACTCCAGAGAGTCTAAGGTTTTCAATGACGAGTTGGGGGAGGAAGAAATGGAAACAGCGGTCGTATATAGATAATACCTAGTGAGTTGACTAAAGCAAGCAAAGATGATCAAATTTACCCATCTGGATAAATGTTTCCCTTCAGGGGGGGGGACTGTGGAGTTATGCTTCGCAACTGCAGAAACAGAATTCTTAATCTTTGCATGAACTATATCACCCTCCATCGTCTCTCCCACAGCATCAGATTCAAAGTCCTCAAACCTACCAAGTTTAACAACAACAATTTTGATAATAAAATAATAGTGCAAAATAATAACGAAATTAAATAAAAAACAGTTAGTGCCACTGTCAAATAAATTCCTCATATATCTCACCTTCCTCGAGAAATAACGGATTCTTCCCAAAAAGAAACTGAAGATACAAGAAAATCTTTCCAGCAATTTTTCAGAATGCATTAGCATATTTGAATGAATGCCAACTAATGCTTTGGTCAATTGTTGCACAAAAGGATTTCAAGAATTGAAACTATGATATCCCCCCCGGGAGGTCTAATGTTTCACCTCTTGTCACTACAGACACGTGTACTCTTCAAAAGAAGAAAAATGTTTCTGTCAAAGTTCTACGCAGCCAATGCCTCATAAGCTTCTTCTTCATCTGATGTCGACTCTTCATTAGACGAGTGTGAAGCGTCTTTTATTTGCCTAGTAAGCCCTCCCAACAGAGAATAAATTTCCAATCTTTGACTGTTTGTGGTGTCTGCAACCATGAAGGAGGAAAATCCAGCTTTCATATCAATCCAAGCACATCCTGGATCTTTCCTCACACCTGAGTCCCTCATTAAGGTTCTTACATTAGCCAGTTTATTCCAACTGCCAGCAGCAGCGTACATGTTTGCTATCAAAACATAGTACCCAGAATTATCTGGCCTCATTTCCAGCAATTTCTCAGCTGCCCACTCACCAATCTCGGTGTTCCCGTGGATTCGGCATGCCCCAATCAGTGTGGCCCACATTTCCTCTGTTGGCTCAAATGACATCTTCATGATAATATGTTGAGCCTTTTTTAGTAAACCTGACCTTCCATAGAGATCAATCATACACGAAACATGCTCCAGTTGAGGAGTTACGCCGTAAACGCTTTGCATCAGTTCAAAAAGTTTCTCTCCCTGGTCTAAAAGACCAGAATGACTACAAGCTGATAATATGGAAACCATGGTGACATGGTCTGGTTTTATGTGGGACCTAATCATGTCCATGAAAAGTCTAATCGCTTCTTTTCCATTTCCTTGGACACCATATCCAGCTATTAATGAAGTGTATGTCACTGTATCTTTCTTGCTCATGGAATCAAAGAGTTTCTTGGCTAGATACACTTTTCCTGATCTTGCATACATATCCAGAAGAGAGTTCCATAATATCAATTGTTGCTCAAACCCTTCATGCTTACAGAGATAGCAGTGAAACTCTCTTCCATGTTGGAGATTCGCAACCCGAGCACATAATGGAAGTATGCTTGCTATTGTCACATAATTTGGCTTAAATCCGCAAAGCAACATTTCCCGAAAAAAGAATGAGGCTTCCTCATATCTACCGCAATGTGCAAATCCAGATATGATGGAGTTCCAGGAAACTATACTTTTACTCTCTTTCAACTGAAATATAGTATATGCATGTTTTAGATCTTTGCATCTAGCATACATGGTAATCAATGCATTTGTTACATTATCAAAATCCTGAAAATGACTCCGAATGGCCAAACAGTGAATTTCTTTCCCAATCCTTATCAAACCAGTTTGAGAACATGCTCCTAGACCTATAAGAACAGCCACAGGATCCAACACAAACCCGCAATTTCTCATCCGGGAGAGCAACTCAAAAGCACCTTCAAAGTTGCCCGTTTTTGTACACCCGCTAGCTATGGTATTCCAAGTGATATTATTCAACTCAATACCTTTAAAAATCATTCTTTCAAAAAGATCAAAGGCTTTACTCCACATATCATTAGAGGCATATCCAGAAATCATCGCGTTCCAAGAAACAGCGTCCTTAACTAGAATTCGTTCAAAGATCTGACAAGCAATATCCAGTTCCCCGCACTTAGCATACATTGACAGTAAAGCGTTATCAACAAACATGTTTCTTTTCGAAGAACTAGCATCTATAGACTTGTGAACCTCCCTTCCAAAAGAAAGATTCGCCTGTTCTCCACAAGCCTTGAGAACGGATGGATAGGTGAAATTATCAGGCCAGATTCCCTTACTTACCATTTGCTTATAAGCAGATAGAACAGCATCATACTGCCTAACTTTTACATAGGAATAAATGAGAAGGTTCCATGGCAAAGGATGCAAAACATTTGATGTTTCAGTCACTTTGTGAGCATCAAGAAGTAAACCAAATGTTGTGTAGAAGGTGATTATTTTAGGAACCAACATGGCATGGTGTGCAAGACCAGAAGTAATAGCATAGGCATGTAGCTGTTTGCCCTCACTAAATGACTTGAGTTCCGTGCAACATTGGAAGAGAGATGATAAGGACTGTAGCACTGTGTGGCATGGAGATTGTGAGGGTACATTCAACTGAATAAGACCAAAAGTTCTAAAAGCTTTCAATAAATGGCCTTCACTTGCAAAATTCTTCAAGGTTGATAGTAAGCAATCCACCATTGATTCATCATAGGGTACTTTAGTCCTTAAAATTGGTTCATGAGAACTAGAAACAAGGGATTCAATATTCTTTTTAATGTCTGACACTTTAACACATTGTCGCCACTTCTTGGGTATGAATTTTTCAACTTGTGAAAGAGAAAAGTTTCTGGGTAGCAAACTATCCGCAAAGGGCATAAAATGAAGACGACCAGGTTATCTGAACAGAAACAGTTTCTGGTTGCATGATGGCACCAACGGTTGCAACATCCAAAAGATATACACTATAAGAGGCACACTAATGGGGGAGAAATTTGGCGTCGTGCACAGGGCCCAGACTCTGACATAAAAAACAGAAATTAGGTTCAAACAAAAAGGTGAGATTGGGCACAATTTTGATGCAGTTGTCTGAGTACCAAACACGGGCGGATCCAGGAATGAGAAGTGGGGTGGGCTAAGCAGTAAAAAAAATTGCACTATACATACAAGGTTTAACTTAGGGCTGTTACCAAATCTAGCATTTTTCAAACTATATGCTCGAGTTTGAGCTTGATTTCTAATCTAATTTAATGACCCGATTTTAATGAGCTTCGAACTCGAACACGGACTAGGTTTTGAGTTTGAATAATAAATCAAATCGAATTCGGACATAGTGATGTTTAAATGGTTCGATCCGGTCTCAAGCATATTGCTCACTTATAAACTATAGAAATCAATTGTATTACATCAGTTCTTTTTTAGTTATAACATTGGTGAATTTCGCACTATTCAAATACTCTACTTTGACTACATTTTATTTTTTAATGTATTATAAATTCTTTTTTGAAAATTAATTGTTAAACTCCTCTCATTTTAAATTTTCAAAATCTGATATTTTTAATTTGTTTACTAACAAGAAATGAAAGATGTTAATGATTAAACTTGTGTGTTAGCAAACGTGAATACTAAACCGTTGCAATTTATAGAGAACGAAGGAAGTATATATCTCAAATTTAAACGTTTTATTGCAATTTTAAGAATTTATTAATGATTATTAAAAATTTGAGTACATTTGTTGAATAATTCGAACATGAATCTATTAACGAGTATAGCCTAAAGTTCTACATTCAATATTGTATGAATTAATATAATTCTATAAAACTATAAAACTAATAAGAAAAAAAGACGGTTGTATAAAAAACTAATAAGTATTTCCAATTTCAAAATTCAATTGAAATTATTAATTCCTTCTTACATGTCCACACAATAAATAAATCTCTCTCTTATTTTCAAAACTTTAAAAAATGTATAAAAAAAAAATCACTCTCTAATCTTTAATTCTATCTTTAGTCATTATAAATTTATAATGAATTAAAGCTTTTTTATTATGAACTGAAAAATTCACTTAATGATCAAATAGATTTACAAAACTGAAAAAAAATGCCCAATTACACAAATTCACAAAATAATACAATATTTAACAAATAAAACACACTAACACAATCGCTCCAGGCCCTCTTTGTTAATCAAATATTCAAATAGATTTACAATGGTTCACAAAATAATACAATTTATAGCAAATTATATAATGTTTAATCAAGCAAAAAGGGTCTAAAAGAGTATTAGAATTTAGAGTATACCTGGAGCTGGAGGCAGCCGGCAGCCGCAGAGGAGAGACTCGGACTGGTTACTCGGAGAGCCGGAGATGGAAGACCGCTGACGCAGGGCCGTGGAACGTGGACGGAGGGAGGCGGCGCAACTGGTGGCCGCAGGTCGGCAGGGTTTCTTGTCTCCACCGCAGCTCCGGTAGTCCCTCGACCCTCTTCGACCTTGGTGATTCGCAGTTCGCAGTCTTGTGTTATACGGAGTAATATTCCCTCAAAAAAAAAGTCTTGTGTTCTAATAAAGCCTTCATTTTATTTCAAGAAAAAAAAATAAAGCCTTCATTCATTTGGAGACGGTAGCATCAAAATCTGCAGGTTTGGGTGAGATTTGCTCTAACAATAAATTATTTTTAAAATATATTTTATTAATAAAATAAAGAAAAAATTATATGTAAAAATAGTTAAAATGGTCATCTACAGTAACTTTAGCCAATACAATCAGAAAAGTAACTTCAATCTTACTTTTTCTGCTTATTACACAATTAAGTGCGCGAAAGCAAAAGTTACGTATTTGGTGAAAAAGTTGGTTGATAAGTCCGATAAGCCGAAAAACAGTCTTGTCAAACGGCCTCTTAATATTTGGCCTAATTAGAGTTAATGGGCTGTTTGTATGTTCCTTACTATTTTTCAGTTTGTTATAGCCAAATCATATTAACTAACGAACTGGTAGTTAAGTTGTTGGATGATGTATGAGGCTGACAGCAACTCAGCCCGTCAATAAATCTAATCTAACACCATTTTATACGTATTCACTTAGTCAATTCAATTTTCCCTGCAACCCAACACCGTCAATATATTCACTCAATACATTCTTTTTTAGTTAAATCCTTACTTTTATTATTATATATAATTTTTTTCCCAAAATCTATTTTTGAAAATAATTATGATTTAAAATATCAAACATTCCGATGTAAAAATAAGTAAATTTAGAGTGAAATTTTTAACCATGAGATCTTTTTTTTTTTTACATATCCAATACGGGTGTCATATGAAAGGTTATAAAAAGTTATGAATTTTGATATTTTTTATACAAATTAGAGAATAAATAAAAAAGTCACAACACTTTAAAGAAAATAATAATAATTTCACATGGGTCCCATGTTGATCATTTCTCCTGAGTGCATCACATCTAGTCCATGGGTCCATTTTTTGCATTTTTTTTTTTGAGTGAATAGAGTGTGAATTGCTAGTACCCAAGGTCCTATGCATCACATTACCAGACCTCCATATACGTTGTTTATCTTGTGTTCCAGCACTTATGGGAGTCAATAGTTTCCAATTAGCTTTTTGACTCCATGCAATGTGGTTAGCCTAAAAGAGGCTATAACAGTTGTATATGGCCATGGTCGAGATAATAAGCGAATTTCTTCTTGTCTTTCCTTTTGTTACTTCAAAAATGGTGGATTGTATTTTTATTGGATATGCACAAAATAGTAGTGCTTATCGGTTTTTAGCAAACGATTCGAATAATCCGGATGTACATAAAAACACAATATGAATCAAGGAATGCATCATTCTTTGAAAACGTATATATTTCCATTCAAGTCCAACGAAGGACCAAGCACGTCAAAACGAACATTTGACGTAGCAAACGTGCTAGAATAGAAAAATCCTTCGGTCTGGATTTTCTCACCTACTTGGTAGAATTCGATTCCGATATTCTAACATGTATGGTAGAAAATGAACCGGATCTTCTAACATGTTTGGTAGAAAATGGGCCACAGACTTATACGGAAGCCGTGACGTCTACCGAAGGTCCTATGTGGAAAGAAGCCATCAAAAGTGAGGTGGATTCTATCCTAAAAAATCACATGTGGAATTGGTTGATCTTCGTACGAGATGTAAACCTTTGGAGTCCAAGTGGATTTTTAAACAGAAAATGAAACCAAACGGTTCCATTGATAAGTACAAGGTCAGACTTGTAATTAAGGGATACATGCAATGTGAATGCCATGATTACTTTGACAGGTATTCTCCGGTGACGAAAATAAATTCCATTAGGATGATACTAGCCATTGTTGCTTTGCGGAAATTCGAAGTTCATCAAATGGACGTAAAAAACGCTTTTCTAAAATGGCAATATAGACGAAGAAATCTATATGGAACAACCCAAAGGCTTTCAGGTTCCTGGCCAAGAAAGGAAAGCGTGTAAATTAATTAAGTCATTGTATGGATTGAAACAATCCCCTAAACAGTGACATGAAAAGTTCGATCATGCAATGTTAATTAATGGGTTTAAAATAAACGAAAGTGACAAATGCTTCTATGTGAAGAGCACAGTAGATGGCTATGTCATTTTGTGTTTATACGTAGATGATATACTCATCGTGGGTAACAATAACCTAATGATTAATTTTACCAAAAACATGTTAAATTCTAAATTTGACATGAAGGGTATGAGGCTGACTGATTCAATCATTGGGATTAAATAATTAGAGCTTTGGCTAATTCCGCTCCTTCTATTTTCTGTTTTTCTTTGTCATTTAAATTAATTTTACTTAATTAATTATTCTTTATTTTCCGAGACACACCAACACCAAGAACCTAACCTTCCCTCACCATTGACGGACGTGAAGGGAGGGTTAGGACTACTACTACTTGAGAGAGGTTTGAGACAAATTAAATAAATTTTGGAGGGTTTGATAACCACCCGAACAACTAGGCATTAGATCCCCTTTTAGTAGAGCAGTAGTAGTAGTAGTAGTAGTAACTATTCTCTTAAGGGTCTTTGAACCTAGAACTTAGGGAGTATAATAGTATATCCCATTTGGAGTAGGGAGACGTTGGCGTCAAAATTACTTAGGGAGTATATCCCTTGTTATGCTTTCTGTCATAAACTTATCAATGATAAAATAATTAATAGACTAATTAAAAGATTAAAGGGTTTTAGTTTAAATAAATTTTTATATACTTTCTAAAAAGTTTATATACATTTGAAAATTATATTTTGTTATAGGAATATGATAGTGAAATTTATAGGAATAAAATATTTATTGATCAAATGGTATTTTCACATAAAATGAAAAAAATAAGTTGAATTGGAAGGTCGGGGTGTCTGGCCACCACTTACCAACTAGGTGGGCGTGATGGTCCCAGATAGAGGTAAAAGTCTGGGGGGGGTGAATAGACTTTTAAAGCTTTTTCAACTTTAAGAAGTTTCCTTACCAGATATGATGATCAATAACCTTTTGAGAGATTAAAGATCCACAGCGGAAGTCTTGACCTCTATGTATATAACAACTTTCTATTAGTAAGTGGACAAGGAGAAGTTTGAGAGATGGTCAGATAAGTTTCATGATCTCAAAGGAACCTAAGTGAAGTGTTTGAGTGAGGTAAAATGAACGTTCCTTGTTTTCAGAGACAGAGGTGCCTAGTGGCAGAGATGCTCCGGACAGAAGATATTAACCAGAATACCTTGGTATGGTGTTCTGGTGTCTTCGTGACAGAACCCTTCGCGAAGTCTTCTGTTGGCCTCGGAACAGAATCCCTCACGAGGTCTTCTATTGGCCTCGGAACAGAATCCCTCACGAGGTCTTTTGTTGGCCTCGGAACAGAATCCCTCACAGGGTCTTCTGTGACTACTTCGAAGGTGATGTGTATAGCTTAGAGACTTCTGTTTTAAGAAAGAGATCTTAATGAAGAGTGAAGTGTTGGAGATTTATTGAAAATAAAACTCAATTGTGTATTTACATGGTCCTTAATCATTTTATAATCGATGTAATTCTTTTAAATGATGTTTTATAAATGTAATAATTATTATTATATAAATTAAGAGAACACATGTGCACGTGTATCTCTTAATAATTATAATAATGTTACTTTATTTCATTTGTACTTAATGTGCTCTTTATAAATGTTAAATTTTACTTTAGAACTGGCCATCCATGTACGTACATGGCGGAACACTTATTGGTGTTCAATTTTTAAATGTAAATTAAATGGAAATGATTTAAAAGAACGTACATGACTTTTATAAAGAGCAGCACCTTTTCGTTTATTTGAAGGCTTTTCATCCGTTCTATGAAAGAGCACTTCGGCAAGTTTGTTAACTGCTTTTTCGAAGGGTTACACTTTTATTATAAATACTAGGACCATGTGGGATTGATAAACGTATGAAAAATCAATTTTTCAATCTTCTCTTGCCTTACTAAATACTAATATCTGCAGCGTTAGTATTGAAGTGTTTAGACCACTTTATGTACAAATCACTTGTTTAGTGTTATTTTGTTAGTAACCAAAATACACTGCACACCTTCTTTTTATCCCAAAAGTTCTATCTTGTAACCCGGTTACTGTGATAAGGGTAGATAGTAAACTTTTAGGAAAGCGTATTTGATACGTGACTAGAAGTGATATCCGGTTCAGCCATATTTCACACCCTTATAATTCACTATTTTTATCCTCCGGTTCTAACAATCTAAAAGTTTACTATCTACCCTTAGTGAATCGGCCTCCATTTGAGAATTTGACAAATTGAATTTGCCGTGTCTCCATTCAACATGGTCCTCTATATTTATAAACAAAATGATACAACGTACAAAGAACCGAAGTGTTCAGTAGTTGATGGCAGTTACGCCGACCAAAGCGAAACGTTGTATCATTTTCCAAAAGAACATGTACGTTCTTTACAAAACATTTTACTCCCTCCGTAACTTAAAAATCTTCCCACTTTCCTTTTTCGTCCGTAACACAAAAATCTTCCCATTTTTAAATCTTCCCATCATACCCTCAATAATTCTTAAAATAATACACTATTACAACTACTTTTTTTGGATTTATCCTACATTCCACCACATTATTCCACTATTTTCCCATCATACCCTCAATAATTCATATCATCTTTCACTATTCTTAATCTACCTACTTTTGAAATGTGAAGATTCTAAAGTTACGGAGGGAGTAATATAATTTAAAATTTGTCCTTATCCATTCCTTATCCACACATGCATCAGCTTCATAACAATTTAAACAATACGGAGTACTTATACTACGTACGTAGCACTTAATGCATGAAAATGGTATATATGATCTAACATATTAATGAAATATTGTTATTATATTTATTATGAGATCATAGTGCACAAAATGTTCTCATAATATATATAATAATCATTATATTAAAATAACATCATTTAATAAACCACATTATTTGTTTATAAAATGATTAAGGACCATGTAAAATAACAATTGAGCTTCATTTTCAATAAATCTCCAACAATTTTTAT